GCTGAGCCCCCCCCCTTGAGACCGACCGCTCCCGCCCTTCGCCCCGCCCCCTCCTCGACCCCGGTCCCGCGCTCTCCTCGCCAAGCCCCGCCCCGGCGCGCACCTTCTCGCGCAGCCGCTCGCGCAGCGCCGCCAGGTGCGCCTCGCGGATCTCCTTGCTGAGCTCCATCTTGTAGTTGAGCTTCTCCTCCGCCAGGCGACTGAAGTTGTTGTTCTCCTCCAGCGCCTTGTGCAGCACCTCGCGCTCGTGCTCGCGCCGCTCAGCCAGCTGCTTTAGCACCTGCGCCTCCTGCGTCTGTGCGGGCGGATGGGGGCGCGCGCGTGGGCGGTGGCCGGGCCCCTGCGCCCAGCCCCCCACGCAAGCCTGGCCTCCCCGCGCGCTGTCTCGGCTCCGCCCAGTGTCCGTTCCCCTGCCCTGCTGCCCAGCCTGAGCCGGCTACCAGCTGCCCACCGGACCTCGGGTCTACACTGCCCTGCCGTCGGCGAGGGTGTTCACCTGGTCCCAGTTTGCCTGGGACTTCCTGGGCTTTAGCACCGCAAGGTCCGCGTGCCAGGAGAACCCCCAGCCCCAGACAAACCGGAAGTTGCTCACCCTTTCTGCTCGTCGTCAGCCCGCAGAGCTGTCCCTCCTGCTAAGCTGAGGGCGCCCACGCAGCAAGACAGGCTCTGTCCCGCTCGCTGCCGCCTCCAAAGCCCGTGGTGCACTCAGGGAATGTTGGAGGAGCAGAGCAAATTCAAAACTTATGGGCTGTCATGGAACCTGCACCATCTCCTCCTCAAACGTCTGCCCGCTGAGCTCAAAGTAGGTGCTTGATATGCCCTGGGTTCTGAATTCCCTGAGGGGCGGGGGGCTGTGTAAGGGTGCCCAGGGCTGCTGGAGAAGGGACTAGTTGGAGCGAGGAGACTGGGACTGCTGGGACTGCTGCACTGTCCAGCCCTAGTGGGGGAGGGGCTGCCTGGAGGCCCGGAGGAGAGGTGAGGGTCAGAGACGCTAGGGCTCGCAGCTCCTTCACAAGGCTGCTGGGCCCACCCACGTGCCAGTCACTGCTAGTTAACCCTAGGAGGCCTGGGTCCCCAGGTTTCACTGGGACATGCTGTAAGGGATTTGGAGCCAGTGCCCCTGCCCAATGGGCTTGGGCATCAGGACTGCACTCCTGAGAGTACTCCTTTTGTGTGTGTTTCAGTCTCCGTGGGGCTGGTGAGGGGAAGGAACAGGGAGGGAGCCTGGGGCACATGCCCCCCTTCTCCCAGCGGCCCCCTGAACTCCCAGCAGATGTGGGCTTGCAGCCGCCAACACATGGGAGTCCCTTTCTTCTCACTCACTTCTCTACCCTGGAGAAGGATGCCAGCCCAGACTCATGTCCCAGGGCTCCCTCCTGGCCATGGCCAAGGAAACCCCCTCCAACAGTATCTGGTTCCTGTGCTTCTCCAGCTGGCTGCCACTGGGGAACCCTTCACCTCCCTGTCCTATTCTGATCTCCCAAGAGGATATCCAGGGAACCATGAGACCCTCTCCCCTCCAGACCAACAGCCAAGCAGGGGCTTGGAGCACCCTGTGCCTTGGGGACCCTGTCTGTGCCCAATGAAGCCTCTGGCCACCTTCGTCAGGATCTGGGGGCAGGACTGGGCTCCTCACCTTCCTTCGCTCCTCAGCTGCCTCCAGCCGCTTCTGCAGTTCCTCCAGGGAGGTGTCCTTCCTCTTGGGGGGAGAGGAGAGCACTGGGCTCTCGGGGGACAGGTCAGAAGGGGACTTGAGGATGACCTCGAAGCTCTGGCCAGAGGCCCTCTTGTCCAGCTGCTTCACCTCCATGTCTGCAAAACCAGATTGGGCTTCAGGAATCTGAGGGGTCATGTTCCCAGTACACATCCAAATCAAGGGCTGAGGGAGGGAGCACGGCTGCTCGTGTGGGACCCCCAGGCCTGAGCGCCCAAGGCTGCCTCCCATCAGAGGCTCCCTCTCCAGAAGCCAGCTGAGCCGAGGGGAGTGGTCAGAGAGGCCAGGGGAGAAGAGAGCAAGGAAAGGAGGACGCAGGCACTGGCCAAGCAGGACCTGGCAGCTGCCTGGGGCACACTCACCCCCATACTGGTAGATGGTGTTGGGGTGCGGCTGTGAGTAGAAACAGGAGCAGATGAGCGACAGCACTGACAACTCCTTCATCTTCTCCTTGTAGGCTGTGGGCATGAGGCCAGCATGAGAGGGCGCCATGGCCACCTCCCGACCTCACCTCCCTGGCTGCCTCTGTCTTTCCCTCCCCAGTACTCCCCATGCTGTGTCTCTCTGGAAGCCTGTGTATCTCGCTCTCTTTTCTGTTCCCTTGCCTCTCTACAGCTCTCCTCTCCCTCTCCCCACTCCCAGAAGCTGACCTTGTCCCTGGGCACACCTTCCTGTGGGTTGTCCTGCATTGTTCTCCTAATACCCCCTTCCTTCTCCTTTTCTCTCTCGGCGTTTCTGTCTCATTCCTCTACATCGCTGTGTTTGTTGGTCTCTGTCCATCCTTTTGTCTTCCTGGCTCAGTTCTCTCTCTGTGTCTTTGCATGTCTCCATGACCCTTTGTCACTGTATATTTTCCTGACCCACCATCCCTGGCCCTCCATGTCCTTCTCCCTCCTTCCTGCCCTTTCCCTCTTACAGATATTAACCACCACACTCATGACCGAGCCAGCACAGATGTGGAACTTCTGCAGGCAGCACTTTCTTGGTCTGTACACCTGGGTGAAGCTGTCAGACTTCCTCCTGTGTGACCCCCCGCCCCCATTTACCCTGATAGCATTGCAGCCACCCCAGGTGAAACCAGGCCATCACCAGGCACACACTCCCTGCCCATCCAGAGCCAAAAGGTAGGGAGCTGTCCGTTCAGCACCAAAGCCTGCCCTCTAGTCTTGCAGAGCAGGTGCCCACAGCCAGTGTGCCCCGTGTCCAACCAGAAAAGGACGTACACTTGTCTGCTGAGGCCCTGAGTCCTGTCAGGTGAAGGGGAGAAGCCCACTGTCAGAATGGAAATAACAGCTTTCTGTGGCCCATTCATGACAAGCCAGGCCCTAAGGTAGACACGCTGGCCCAGTGTCTCACTAATGCTTAACAATCTTCAAGCCCAAGACTGTCCCTGGGCTCAACTGAGATGATACTGGGCCCCAGTGGCAAGGGTGACTTGCCCAAAGCTCCTCAAGTGCAATCCCAGGTGGTCTGTGTTCTTTACACCACTCCATCGGGTCCCAAAGCGAGACCCAGAGACCCATCCTCCTGCCGCCCTAGCTGGAGAAGCTGGTACAGGTCTCCAGAGAGGGAGTCTGGCTTCCATGAAGGGGTCTTCCAAGGAGCAGACACGAATTTGGACAAGAAACTTGCTGACTGGGGCGCCTGGGTGGCTCCGTCGGTTAAGCGTCTGCCTTCAGCTCAGGTCATGATCTCAGGGTCCTGGGATGGAGCCCCACATCGGGCTCCCTGCTTGGTGGGAGTCGGCTTCTCCCTCTCCTGCTTCCCCCTCCCCCGGCTTGTGCTCTCTGACTCTGTCAAAAAATAGATAAAATCTTAAAAAAAAAAAAAAAAAAAGAAAAAGAAACTTTCTGACCAAATTTCACACAAGACAATGTTTTAAAATTGAGTTAATGTTGGGGCGCCTGGGTGGCTCAGTTGGTTAAGCGACTGCCTTCAGCTCAGGTCATGATCCTGGAGTCCCTGGATCGAGTCCCGCATCGGGCTCCCTGCTCGGCAGGGAGCCTGCTTCTCCCTCTAACCCTCCCCCCATCATGTACTCTCTCTCTCTCTCTCTCATTCTCGCTCTCTCAAATAAATAAATCTTTAAAAAAAAATTGAGTTAATGTGAAGTTGGGGAAAGCGTTGGTGTAGAAACAGGACACAGGACAGAAATTATCAGGCCCTTGTCTGAGAGAGCAGCTCATGGTGAGCAGCGTTCTCCATCAACCAGTGCAGAGAATGATATTATTGGATCTAAACGTCCCGATGACCCAGACTCTTCTGGAGAGAGCCCAAGAGACTCTAAAGGGAGCACAAAGGAATCCCGGGCAGGCAGCAAGGAGATCCTTTAAGGTGAGTGGAGGGGTAGCAGGGCAGAGATATGCGCCTTGGTCATTGGCTTCAGGAGGCTGGGAGGGAAGTGGGCTGGATGTGTGCAGGCCTCAAAGGGAATTTTGGCTTGACATGTCAATTTTATTTTTTTTTTACAAGCATAATCTATTTGTGTATTACTTGTGCTATTAAAAGTTAATTTTATTTATTTTTAGAATGATAAAGTTTTTCAAAAGTTTTTTAAAGATTTTATTTATTTGAAAGAGATTGAGAGAACGAGTTGGGGGAGCGGCAGAGGGAGAAGCAGACTCCCCAAAGAGCAGGGAGCCCAATGCGGGACTCAATCCCAGGACCCTGAGATCATGACCTGAGCTGAAGGCAGACACCCAACCGACTGAGCCACCCAGGCGTCCCCTAAAAGTTAATTTTAAAAAGGAGGGAGATGGGTACCTCACACTAATGTGCTGGGGAGTTAGAGGGTGTAAGACCGGGTAAAGCCAGCTCTTCAGAAGCACATGTGGAAACCTCCAAATGGGTTTACCATACATGCCAGGAGCTTGGGGCGTCACAGGTGCTCAAGCTCCTCTCTGCCTTGAGCCTGAAGTTCTCCCAGGAAAATGAGCTGCACATTTATTACAGAGGAAGAACAAGTTCATGGACAAATGTCAGGGGACTCCCTTCCAAGTACCTGTTGCCTGAGTATGAAGGGAGGTTGGCAGCAATTTAGGGTGCAGGATGTGGAGCTTGGGCAGGTGTGAGCACTGCCTTGTTAGGATACAGGGGAGAAGGATGGGGGAGGGGATGCTGGAGACTAAAGTCAGAGCTCTCTGAGGGCATGGACCAGCCCAGGGGACCAGTGTCCAACTAGGAAGTGAGGGACTGACTATGTCTTGCAGCTGGTAATAGGGATGCAGCTCAGTGTTTGATGGTCATGGAGATTCCTCAGGTTGGTTTCTCTTGGGCTGATGGCCCATGAGGAGCTTCCTTCCCAGAAGACTCATCCTAAGTAGCCAAGTGGGAAGGGGCACCCCCCCAGAAGGGGGCTTGGGAGTGAGGCTTGCTGTGTGGTCTGGCTGCAAGTTGGAGGGAACTGGACAGCAGGTAGGGAAATTAGCAAATTTTCAGACAGTGAGAAAGGGGAAGCCCACACATGGGGCTGGAGAGCAGGCCTGGGCCCAGCAGCTCACAACACAGGAGATTACACCTGTGTCCTCAGAACTGGAGGGGCTTAAAGGTCATGTCTCACTGCAGAGGGAAGAGGTCGAGGCCCAGACCCATCTAGGCACCTCTCCATCGACAGAGCTCAAGCCAGGAAGCCCCTCTGCAGCTTGGGGGCATGCTGTTTCTCCCCCTCACCAGGATCCTTCTCTTCCTTCCCCATCACTGACTTCAGGGAGTCATTATAAGCAAATCTCTGGCATGAGCTGGATTGCTTTCATCTCTCTCTTCCTCTTCATACTAAATGTTAAATATGCAAAAACGCACATTGGCTTTTTGGATGCTTAGATCCTAGGTGAGCAAGAGTGAGAAGGCACCAGATCAGCCTACAGGGGCATGGTAACCATAATGGCAACACCCCTGAGGTGGGTGCATTACATCCATCCTCCCAGCTGACCCTCAAGAACAGCCAGCCCTTGTCAGATTCATTTCTACTGAGGAAAAAAAAAAGAGAGAGAGCAAGGAGCCCACCCAGAGTCACACAGCATGACAGGATGGGACCTTGATCATGAGCCCCAGCCTCTGGCTGCACTTTCCTGTTGGGAGCCTCATGGTGGTGGGGGTGGGGGGTTGTCTGTCCAGAAATGGGAAGGCAGGGCGCCCACAGATGCCCACTCACCCCTAGAAGGGTCCTGGAGGCTGCTGCGAATTGCTTCCTGGCAGATGGAGCTCATTGCCCCCCAGGCTGCCCCTCTCACTAGTCGGAGTCACGTGCAACATGCTGGGAGCCCAGCATGGCAGGACGCGCCAGCGGATTCACCTTCTCCGGGGTGGAAACTCTGGGAAATGTGGCTGCAATAGTCACACTGCCTGGCATGGACTGGGCACCCATCTCTTGTCAGGCACTAGGCCAAGCACCTTTCCTGGAATGCCCTGTTCATCTCTCAGAACAAGCCCACGGGAGGCGCTGTCACCATCACCTCCATGCACTTAAGGCCTGAGAGCTTAGGGAGCACGGGCGAGCCCTCTCAGCTCAGTGGAGTTGCATAAGGAGATAAATATAAGCAAGACTCTACAAAAGTGTGTGAAGAGCTGAGTGTGTGGGAAGGACACCAAGAGATGGCCACATCTCCCCAGGTGAGTCCCAGTGACATAGCCCATCAACAGATGCTCAAGGGAAAGGTGGTGGGAAAGTCAACAGAGGAAGAGAAAGCTAAGGTCAATCTTGTGGTGACCATAAGGTCATAGCAGACAATGACTCTTCACCCTAGTCACCAAGACCAACGAAGCCCACCAGTGAGCTGGGGCAGACAGGCCACTGAGGCATGGAGCACCAGGGGCTGCTCCAATCAGAGACTTCTTTTAACCGAGAAGCCATAGCTGGGATTCACTTAAACTGATTTTGGCCACAATGACTGATCTGCTCACATAGCCACTTCTGGGCCAAGCCGCCTGCCTATCCAATTTTTATGAAGGTGGGCATAGGCATGCACACATGTAGGCTGCACTCTCTCCGGGGCAGCCCTGACAGCAAAACAGGAAAGGCCCATCCCCGCGTGACTTTGTCAGGAGGCAGTTCTCCTGGCTGGCTCATGGCACATCTATGAGGCAGCAGCCGTGCTGATCAACACTGATTGCGCTTATGGTTTCCTTTTTCACACCAACAGCAACCTGGACACCCAGAAAAATCCTGGGACCAAGCATGGGTCAGCAGCACCCCAAAGCCTGGCAAAGGGAGGGCTCGTGTCAGGGGGGGTTTTGAGGTCAGCACATCTGCGCCCGCCTGTGGTGGTCATCAACAGTGCAGCTTCAGCTGCATCCCTTCACCACCTAATCTGTCTGCTTACCTGTCAGATGAGACCTACTGAGCAGGGTTTTTACTAAGAGAAAAGGCTGAGAGCATCTCCCACCAGTGGTTGCTCATTGTCCCCCACTCGGGCACAGACCGGGGCCTGAAACCCCACCTCAGTGTGGGACTGGACTAGCGCTCTGGCCATGGGAAGGACAGACCATCCTCAGTTCCTGCCCAAAGCTGAGCCCAATATCTCTGAGGAGGTCAACAAGACAGAGCAGGGGGCAGATGAAGGCCAGATGGACAAGACCCTCATGGACTGTGTGCAGGAGGGGTGTGGTCAGTGACACATGTGGTCCCCTCCTAGACAAGTGCAGAAGTCACCTGGGGCCTGGGACCCACAGGGCCTGAGAAGCTGGTCAGGGCAGGGCACATGTGAGTGCATGGAGACCTGCCAAACTGTGTGCCACTCCAGAGAGAATCAGGCTAGCTAGGGAGAGGGGACCCCCAGAATGGAGGGAAGGGTGGGCTGGGAGTAGAGTTCTGAGTCCAGGGGGAAATGGGGTGGAGGTGGGGAGCCGCTGCCCTGATGTCGCTGGCGACGGAGTGCAAAGATGAAGTTGGTCCTGGGGCGGCCAGACAGGCCAGAGCGTTCCTGGGGGGAGCAAGCCCCATGTCCTCGCGTCCAGGGTCACCCGCAGCTCTCTCACCGCCAGTAACTGCCCCATGTCCACCCCTCCGCCAGAGCCGCGCCTGGCTCAGGCGTGAGGGGAGGGTCGCAGCCTTGGGGGCGGTGGATCCGCAGCTTGGGAGGCGGGGCTGTGGGGGAGGGAGGGGCAGACCCCTCCTTGCTGGGAGGACTTGGAAACTGCAGCGGCCCCTCCTCCATCCAAACCCCGCTGCGCAAAGGGCGGTGGCTTTTTCGACCAGAGCAGGTGGTACCGTGTCGCAGAGAGCGGTCCCCAAGCCCGCAGCAGCGAGGGGAGGGGACGACCACGCTAGACGCGGGCGCGGCTCCGCTCGCCCCCGGCTCGGTTTCTCCTCCCCCGTCCTTCCGCAGCGTCCCTCCAGCCCCCAGGGTGCTCCATTGGCGCAGATACGGCCTGGGCTCGCTGGCTATGGGTCCTACCCTCCTAACCCCCACCCTCGCGAAGGCGAGGTCGGACCAGGGTCTGCGGTAGACAGGCGCCTCGGAGGACGCTGTCTGCACCTCCCCAGCGCGCCCACCCGGGGGCACGATGCTGCCCCCGGACCCTCGGAGCCACCCTGCCACAGTCGCGCCTGGCCTGACACGGCGGCCACGGAAGGGGAAATGCGCCCTCGCCCCGGGTGCTCGCTTGGGCGCGGCCCCTGCCCGGCGGCCCACGCCCGCCGCACCCGCGCCGCAATCCTCGCCCTTGGGGCACCAGGTGTTCCCAACCCGTTGGCCCTGAACCTCGGTTCTTGCGGGTTCGGCCCGGCCGCGCCCCGCGCCCTTGCAGAGCGTGAGGTCTGAGATGTGAAAATAGAGTCCGCCACCGGCCCCAGCTTCAGGCGAGGCCAGACAATGGCCTCCGCTCAGACCCGCCACCGCCCCAGGAAGTCCGCGTCCCGGACGCCTACCGGACAGGGTGCTGGCCATGGTGCTGGCGGCGCGGAGGCTGCGGAAGGCCGGGAGGCGCGGGCGGCGGCTGGAGCTGCAGTCGGCGAATGCGGCAGTGCTGGGGAGGGGAGGGAGCGAGGGCGGGCGGGAGGCGTGCGCAGAGAGGGAGAGGGAGAGAGGGGGAGAGAGCTAGCGGGAGAGCGGGAGAGCGAGAGAGCGAGAGAGAGCGCGCTCGAGCAAGAGCATGTGCAAACGCCTGGCTGGCTGGCTATGGCAGGGGCTTGCAGCCCTCAGAGGGAGAGTAGAGGGAGGGGAGGATGGGAGGGAAGGAGGGGAGGGGAGAGGCCAGCCTGGGACACAGGGTGGAGCACTGCAGCCAGATGCCCACCCACCCATTGCTTACCTCTTGGACCCACTGCCCCAACTTGGCTTTGTGCAGGCTTGGGGGGATGGTGGAGACATGCCCCATTCCCCAGGGTGGGCATGGCAGGAGAGGAGGGGCCCCAACATCAGGGTGGGCTGGAGAGCTCTTCACTAAAGCCACCGAAGGCAGGGAGTGACTTCTGTGTGCCCAGGTCCGTGCTGAGGGGAAAGTGTGTCATAACGGTGGGGGTAGGGATTGGTCTGGAAGGCCTCCAAGGAGCATCCCAGAGGATGAGTCAATTCTGGGGCAGAAAAGAGAGTAAATGGGGGTGGTGAGGCCTAAAGACAAAGGCTTTGAAGTGAGATAGAGAGGAGTTCCAACCGCAGCTCTGACATCCACTTGCTGTGTGACTGGGAGCGAGTTTCTGACTTCTCTGTGGCTCTGTTTCTCAAGGGTAAGATACAACAATAATGCCAGTCTCCAGATGAAGAAGAGAGGTACAGTGGGTGAGTGTGGGAGGGGGTCATGCCTCCCCTCCTCTCTGGGCTTAGGGTTCGGGTTGATATCCCCAAAGGGAGAGCCTTGCAGAAATGGTGGGCCCTTTCCTGCAGTGACCATCTTGTCTCACTTTGGGCCTGGGAAGTCAAATAGATGAAGTGTCATTCCCATTTTAGGGACGGAGCTACGGAGTTCAAGAGAAGCACTTGCTCCACAAGCAACTAAGTCTTAGAGTCGGGAATAAAACTGTGGGAAACCTCAGGAGCCTGCAGAGAGGGGAGGGAGGCTCAGAAAGGGGACAGACAGGGACAGACCTAAGGGTCAGAGTCTGCCTGAAGCAGGCCCAGCAGATGCGTATATACCTCGAGGTGCATACATGGGGAGTGTGGGACTGGTTAACATCTGTTCTGTGGTCCACATAGTGTCTGATCCACTGTAGGTAGCCCACAAACCTGTAAGAGCAGACTCTCAATTCAAATTCGTTGACTTGATCAAAATCCTGTGCCTGCTGAGTGGGGCTGGTTATGGCCAGCCTTGGTGCCCATTTCCTCTCATCTTTCACAATTAGGTTCAGTACATGGCATTTATAATTACAATTTATTGAAGCACTTATAAGTTACAATTTATTGAAAGCTGGGCAGTCCCATGTGTGATGTGTGACCAGGCAGCTCGTGCATCAGCTCAGGGTCTCAGGGTCCTCAGCTCCAGTTCCGACCCAGGTGGCCCCGAGTCTCTGGGTCCTGCCTTACCTTCCTTGGCCTTCTGGGAGCACAAACACCTCTGCTCTTAGAAGATGGGTGCTGTGGAAGTGAAGAGGACTCCTGGCTGGAAGCTGCATGCTTTAGGCAATCTACTAATCACCAACCCTGTACTTTGTAAAGTGTGGATAATCAAAGAACTTATCTCAGAGGCCGTCCATGCCTGCATGCGTGGTCCTGAAGGGGTGAGCTCTTCTCCAAGCTCCCTACTGAGAGTCTAAGACAAACCCTCTAGGCCCCCTCACCAGGTGGAACAGGTAGATGGGGTGGGTGCCAGCAAGCCACGGGCTTTCCGACGCATGGTCGATCACACGTCTGGGCATTAAATAGAGCCCATGAGAAGCCCTGGGGTCGGCGTTGCCAGCCGGCTGTGGGCCGTCTCTGTCGGCCTTCTGGAACATGCTGGAGTCGGCTAGACAAGTATCTACCCCCTAAAGAGTTGTGCAGGCCCCAGACCCCACTTTTGACTGCCAGCTGGTGCTAGGTGCTGGGACACTGGGTAGCAAGGCGCCTGGGCAGCCATTCGGAATCACGGGAAACCAATCCGAAGGTGTGTGCAATTGTCCGGGCCATCCAGGTGACTTGGCCCAGGGACGGGTGGTGGGATGGAGGCTCTGGCGGGCATGGCATCGAGGGAGGAGACGGCTCGAACCCCAGGTTTCTGCCCGCGGCCGATGGAGGTGCCGTTCTCCAGGCTCAGGGTCGACCGAAGGGGCAGGGTGGGGCCCGGAACCGAGTGCGCAGACCCCTATGCTGCGGAATGGTTTCCGCCGGGAACCACGCGCAGCGGCCCGGAATTGGGAGCGGAAGTGCAGCGCGTTCAGTGACGCCCGCGAAGTCCGAACCGGCTGAGGGCGGCGGAGACGCGGCGGCGGTGCCTTGGCTAAACCGGGGTAGATTCTTGGGGACCCCCGGCGACGGAAGGCTGTCCGCGGAGAAAAGTGAGTCGTGAGTCGCAGAGATGCCGGAACTGGCCCTCTGACCTGCGCGCGCCTCCCGACACTGCAGCTCCCGGCAGGCCCCGCGCCGCCCCGGGCCCGCGCGCCGGTCTCTCTGCCGCGCTGCATTCTGGGGCCGGTGGTTTTCCTGTGCGCGTGGGCG